TGCGACTACGAGAGGCGGGTGCTAAGGCGTACATGGTCCCCCCACGAAGACGATAGATACATGTCTACTGCTGAGATGCACGATTTTGCTTGGCACAGTCCGGTTTGAACTTATTATTTACATTTACCCACTCAGACCTATTACCCCGACTGATATCTGGAACGCGTCTATACCTCTGTATGTAATCGACCTGTTCTTATCAAATGTATGTCCTCAGCGACGAAGTGTGATAAGTGCGGAAGAGTGATAAGCGCCCACGATTTCAGTCGGAGATTGATTGCGAAGGCATAGGAATTCATCCGCCGAGTCGATGCTCAAAGCACAGTTCACAGTCTCTCCCAGTCCATCTAGACTTTAACCACATTCATAAAGCCTGCCTCTACCCTCGTGTGTTGGGATACACCGCGACTATTCACTGTAAGAGAGTGAGTCAGACGGAGGCATGAAGATAGTGGTTATTATTTTTGAAAGCTAGCGCCGTACGCCAGTGCGCATGCTCTGAAGGTGACATCCATCCGTTTTCTACTTCCACTGGAGGGTTTTTTTTTTTTTTCTTTTTGTTTTTTTGGATGTGCAAGGCGAAGTTGGAGCAGAACACAATGAGTTACACCGGGAATGCGAACGTGTATTTGTATCTAATCTTTCCGCGAAAGATCCATGTCAGACACAACGACACCATGTAGCTGGAATGACAGAGTTTTGGACAGTACTTAGTTCTTGCGAGTTGTTTGAGACCCCAATCCAGCAATACTTAGTGAGATCCTGGTAGGGTCTCGCCCAATCTCAGTCGGCTACGCCCGTCCACGCTCCTGAATATGGTCGTCGTCCCTGTGAGCTGTCATTCTGGGCTCACCGGATCTCTGAGTATCAGTATGCAGTTGGGAACTGGCGTCTCCTCGTCTCGAGGCTACAATCAGTATGTGCTCGTTGATCCACACATATTTACGTGGGCTGCGGGGAATATGTTTCCGAACAATAACATTTTGAACCCTCCAGTTGTCACTTCGTTGTTTATTTCTTGTTGGGTCAAAAGCTTGAGCCGAAATTCTTGAAGGGAAAGGTCGTCCCTATACCCGGAGTGCTGTTGGAAGGTGCTCCAAGTCGATGGTCTCTTCTTGGTCGGATCCTGTCACGCGGAGGTTCAGTTATATTTGCTGGTCAAGTAGTCAGCCATTTTCAACGTGACGCTTACACGAAGTTCTGATAGAGAATATTCGAGCGGTGTTAACCTTTGAAAACAGGAGCGATCGCAGCTTGAATCAGTGATACCGTACCTCGTAATATGCTGTCGACAAAGGGTTCGGCAATGGCAAGTCGAAACATTCAATCGTTTCTGACTCACTTTGCTGGTACGTTGGCGGTGTACATGCTCCAACGACCTCCCCGAAGGTTTGATCAGAATTTCATTTGGCTTCAACGCCATCTGTGGTTTCTACCTTCAACTCCAGCCCAATCGGCAGGATTGTACGGTCCAGGGGCTGATCGAGGTCGAATGCCGGACAGGCCTACAGGTGGAAGATACGGAGTTTCGATTACGAACTGGGGTACCTCCAACGCTGCCATCCAGACGATCGTCATGATATACTTGATATCTAACCAATCGGCTGTTCTGTCTACAAATATAGGTCCCCAAAATGTTGCTGGGGAATAGTTTGGGGAGTTATAGACGAAGCAGCGCGCCTCCGTGCGTACGTCGTCCCATTCCTGAGGTACTATGCGGCCCCTTGACCTAATCGCTCGGTACTGCTCCAGCTGTTTCGACGTCAGGCAAAGTAGTCTAGCGTAGTGATTCTGGTACCTGTCATACAGCGTCTGGTACTCGAGGTTGTTGCGGAGGAGCGCTGAGTCGCGGGGTACCTCGCAAGTCGGATGGCTGAACGGATAATCGGAGAGAGCTCTACCCACAAGCGTGAAGTCCAAGTCCAAGTCGGGTGCCCTAAAGACAGGAAGATTCATCAACATGAGCGCGATCTCCTCGAGGGCTTGCGTCGTCGTTCGAATGAGAGATGCAGTGTTATGGAAGTCGTCAATGGTTTTCAAGGCCTTCATTTTAGACATAAAGCGTTGTCGCCAGTTCGTTCTGCAGCTTTGAGGAGGATTGAGATCTTCGCCTCGACATAGTAGACCATAGAACCTCCTTTCTTGAGCTGTCTTGTTAGGATCGTTAAACCTTTGGCGGTGGTACTCCTTCCAGAGGAATTCACTCGAATTTCCAGAGAAGACGATGCTGTGGGCCTTTTGACAGGTGCGAGAGAAGACGAGGACAGTATGAGCGTCGTTGACGGTGACGAGGATCCGTACCAAGATATTTGAAGGTAAGTTGAGGAGCGGAGAAGTTTGCCTTCGAGCCATGGTCGCTTGAAGGCGTTAGGCAAAGCACTAATTGGTGAAAAAAAAATTGGGGCGCGGTGCCGAAAAGCCGTGTCGGAAGACCATGCCAATGAAGCACAAACAGCCTTCATGTCCCACTGAACTTAACGCTTTGACTGGTTGCTACACTTTCGACGTGATGGAGCGAGACAGAGCGAGGAACGAGCATAACAATTGCGATTCTCGGATGAAACAGGAGTATATGTCCATCCGTTTTCAACTGCAAGTCCACTTTGGCTGCGAGGTGTCGGAGGATAAGCCTCGTTTGGACCTTGCTCACGCAAAGAGCCATGTCAGAAAACGACACGCCTAGTTGGAGTGGCAGAATCTTGGTCACCGTCCAGTAGGTCTAGTGCGAGTGTTTGAATCACCGATCCAGCAATAGTAAATAAAATCCTGGCATGGTCTCGCCCAATCCCAGTCGGCTAAGCTCGTCCACGCTCCCGAACATGGTCGTCGTCCCTGTGGGCTGTCATTATGGCCTCGTCGGAAATCAGAACGTTCGGCATGCAGTTGGGAACTGGCGTCTCCTCGTTTAGAAGCTATAGTATCCTTGAGACGACACCAGGCGCCACAGTGACTGGAAGACAGCCTCAGACGTTGGCGAGGAGCCCATAGAGCCTCGATGTTGGGCAAGGTCCGAATTGGATTTAGCTTGACGGACCCACACCGCTACTAGTACGAGAGCCCACAACTCATATACTGGCTGTCAAACCCTGAGCGCGGATCTGGTTGTGAGGCTTGTCGAAGGTTGGGATATAAAAGTAGGCTAGTAACGGATGCTCCTTTCTCTTCGTGACAGCTCATCCTTTTTACCCCTCCGATCTCCCTCCCCCGCCCATGGATCGACTCGCCCTGTCGAAGTGCACCATCATCCTCGTCAATGGGCTGTGGATGAGAGCGGCGTTGACTCCACCCAATGCACATACACCTCCAGAGAAGCGGTTCGTCCCAGATTGGAGAGAACGTTTCACGCTGGCTGTGATACCTTTCCACGGGATGTTCAAGGTATGATCACGGTTGTCTCGGGATAGCTTTATGGTCGAAGCTCATTGTAGCTGCACGCCTCGTTAGATGATGTACTGGCTCGCAGGCCTCGTCGAAGTCCTCGCCATCCTCGCCACCTCGCACCCCGATTTTGCCATCTCGAGATCCATCCTCCGCCTCCTCCACGCCTCCAACATCCACCAGTCCAAGCTTATAGGCACTCTCCAACCCTTCTTCGTCATCGGAACGCTGATGATGTGGTTGGGCGGGTCACTGCGGCTGTACGCCTATCGTACGCTAGGACGTCACTTTACCTTCCAACTTGCGATTCACCCCGACCACGTCCTTGTGGACTATGGACCTTACTCGATCGTGAGGCATCCCAGCTATACGGGGCTGATTATGTTGCTGGCGGGTGCGTTTGTGAGTAACGTGGAGGGCTCGTGGGTGAGGGAGAGTGGGATTTTGGATTATTTGGTTGTGAGGCTGTTGCTGGCGGGGTGGGTGTTGGTGCTGTTGGGGATTGTGGTTAGCCTGGTGCTGAGGGTGACGAATGAGGATCGGTTGATGAAGGGGGAGTTTGAGAAGGAGTGGGTGGCGTGGGCGAAGAAGGTTCCGTATAGGCTGATTCCTCTGGTTTACTGATTGGACGACTTTATGATGTCGACAAGACTAGTGTAAATTCCATATTATTCCACCTACATACCTATATCTACTACTTCTAATGTTAATGAACCGACATTACGACGCGATGTCTTCGGTCTAACCATTATGAAACTATTCCAACAGCTAGGCTTCGCGATGAGGGACGGAAGTTCCAGTTTTGAAAGAAACGTGATATTCATACAGAACGTGTCAACGCATTACAAATGTTAAAAAGCAGAAACTATCGAATCGTGAACAAGAATCGTAACAAAACAGTCTACTGTAGAAATCGTTATGACTTCTCAGCAGTATCTGGTCGCTCATCAGCGAAGCCAGCACGCTCACCCTTTCCGATGGCGTTAAGCTTATGTTCGTTCCTATCGAGTTGTCGGAAGCTAGAAGTAGAATATCGTCGTCAGCCATTGTTCCAGAAAGAAGGAGAGTCTAAAGTAAGAAGGACGTACGTGAAGAAGAAGATCGTTCCGATAACCCAGGCGGTGATAGCGAAGGAGCCATAGAGCCAGACAAAGTTCTCCTCGGCGTTGGCTGCGGTGAGCGCAAAGTTGATAGCGGCGGAGACGGCGGTTTGGAACTGAGCAAACGCCATGACGACGGACTTCATGCGAGCTGGCGCCTACATCCAAGGTATAATTCGTCAGTACACATCCATCGAAGAACTAAACGATCCTGAGGAAGCTCACCTTGGTGAAAGCATACTCGAGAGACGTGATCGATGCGAAGATCTCAGCCATTCCAACCATGAGGTAGGGACCAACGACGACCCAGACGTTGATATCAGCGGGGTCGGGCACCATACCGTTACCGTCGTCGGCGGGGCGCTTGCAAGCGGAGGGCTGGTTGTTGTCGCAGGGCGAGCGCTTGTTGAGGAAGGACTGGAGGACGGCAGCGTAGACCATGGCGAGACCGGCGACGAGGAAGCCGACGTAGATACGTTTGATGGGTGTGAAGTCGATACCGCGTCGACGGAGGAAGGGGTAGATGATCCTGTCGAAGATGGGAACCATGATGATGATACCGATGGGGTTCAAGTTCCTACGGGGTGTGTTAGAGGAGGTGGTACAGAAAGAAGGAAGGTTGAGAGTACGCACTGGATGAGATCGTTGGGTGTTCCGTTGAGCGTCATTCCGGCGGCCGTGGTGCTCAGGTTACCGTCGATCTGGGAGTAGCAGAGCCAGAAGAAGGGGAAGAAGAGGAAGACACCACAAGCGTTGCAGGTACGAGCGACTTCGCCTACGAATTCGTCGTCCCATGTGATGCTCTTGGGCACTTGACCAGGTGGGTAGTGGCCTATCAAACGCGGTGAGTCGAGGGCATGGGGAAGAGAGTCTGAGAAAAGACGAACTGGGCTTCGCGTTCTCCCAGAAGCCAGGAGCACGGATGTTCCTGATGGTTTGGACGGGATTGAGCGACCAGGCAGGGGTCATAGCCAGTCGAATAACGCGGATGGTCTGACAACAGGGATTAATGCCAAAGCCACGCGAACCTCAATGACGAGAGGACTTACCTCAAGCAGAATGGAACCACGAGGGGGAGTGACGACATATTTCTTCTTGCCAAGGAGGAGAACACCGGGTACGAGCAGGAAGATGATGGTAGGGACGAGCCAGGCAACCCAGAAACCGTGGTCACGAGCGAGGAAGGAAGCTGAGATGGCGCCGCTAGCTCCCAGATTGATGGCAGCGTAGAACCCTGTTCGATGTAAGAATATGTCAGCAACTCGTTATTCAAGGATAAAAGAGAGATACGCACAGAGATAAGTACTCTGAATCGTAACGTGAGGTGAGATAAGAACGGTTTCGCCAGATTTGAGCGTCTCTGAGATAGAAGAAGAACGCCGAGCCAAGCGTTAGTAAGGTTTCGGCAAAATTGGTTGTCAGAAGACATACTCTTCCTTAGTTTGCCGGTGTATTGCTCAGCAATCATGGGAGAGACGTTAGACTTGATCGAACCAGCGCCAATGGCCTGTGAAGGTGGAGCAGTTGGTAGCAGACGTTATTGGGAGGATTGTGTGGGTGAGTTGATGTTCTACGAACGGAGACTGAGCGGGCCGACTTACGATGATAAGAATCGAGAGGATAAGAACGGCCAGAGCAGCATCGTTGTTGGCGATAACTGGAGGAGTAGCACCAATGACGAGGACGATATGACCAAGCCTGCAGGAATCGTTAGTGGATAGACAAGGAACGAGGAGGAGGAGGAAGAACGTACAAGCAAACGAGGGAGAAGACCATAATCGTCTTGTAACGACCCCACATGGTATCGGCGATGATAGCGCCAAGGAATGGCGTAATGTAGACGAAGAAGGTATTGAACTGTAAGGATGTTAGAGCGCTTTAGGAGGACTGGACTTGGACATATGACGCACTGTTCGGATAGCGAAAGAGACGGTTTGGCCACGTCCCAGAGCACCAGCGATACCTCCATCGCGATCTTGCTCGAAGACGACGGCACCGTTGGTCGAACCACGAGGAAGACCCTCACGAATGTAGTTGTTGAAAATATTGGCGGTACCGTAGTATGTCCATCTAGGAGGTCGATATCAGTATGGATTTCGTTCGAGGAAAGGGGGAACTCACCGTTCGGCAAACTCGACGATGACGACGAGCCAGGCAGTCAGCGGGAACTTGTCAGAGACGTGTCGGAGGGTCTCGAACTCGTGCTGAGTGACGCCCTCAGAGCCATCGATGTACTTGGAGCCTTCCTCAACGTCGAGAGAACTGGTCTTCTCATCGAGCGACGGTGGCTTCTCCGTCGCAACCTTATCGTCGCGCTTGTCGGCCATCGCTGAACGAAACGAGTATCGCGTTCGTCGTCGAGGTGCGGGGACAAGGGAGGAGGAGGAGGGGAGGGACGAAGGTCGGCGGTACCCACAGCAAGGAAGGCCTGGGTATGGAAGAAGAAGAGCTTATCGGAGAAGCTCTGGTTGTTATATACGCCATCAAGAACCCAGTTCGACATACACCCCGCGTGTCACGATGGTGCGTTTTGGCAGGTGTACATGTTCGAAGATAGGCTCCACATGCTCACTTTCGAATTCACCCAGCGGGGGTTCTCCTTCCCACTTGGCGCATCGTGTATAGCTTTATGAAAGCTCACCGGGTGGCTCTAATCCTGTTATAGAACTGACGACGTGGAGAACATCAAGATAAGTAAAAGCAACATATGATCAACGGAAAGTGAATACCTTATCGTGTGACTATGGCTTCCTTTAACCGCGCTGGTGTGTTCATGTGGGTCTCACCTTGGTTGGGTGCATCGTGGATGGGAGTTGGGAAAAAGGACGAGAGAGACCATATTGAGCTGCCTGATGGCGCCATTGATGGGCGGTTTCGAAGTTCGAACCCCGCGGTTAGTAGTTCTTATTTCTCCTTCGTTGCTTCGACCAGGAACGAAACGTATGGGACTTCTGGGCTCGAGGATAGAGAGGCGGAAGTCTCTTTTCGACGAGCTATCGCGCATGAAATTGAGGTGGCTCTGGGGCTATTTACGGATCGACCGAATCGGAACGCTCGAGGGTGAACAGGTGTTTCCTATCAGAGCATCGATTATGGATCCAGCTCGAGTTCCATTAGAATGCAGCAACGGAAGGTCTAGGGACTCGCTAGACATAGATCTTGACACTCCTGTCAATGCGAAGCTCCGTCCGAAGAACTTACTCAGGTCACGTCCCAAGATACCTTTGAACATCGCTCATCGCTGGTTAGCAATAGGCGGAATGACATCGCCGTTCTTCCATACCCAGATATACCCCCTCAAGCACGGACTTGAAAGCAAGGGGATAATTATGTAGCAAGTGCTCAAAGCATCGAAATTGAATAGGCGCGTTCTCACAGCGGTATAGATGAGTACAACGAGTATGAATGAGGACAGGCACATGTGGGTGGTTATGTATCCTCTCGTAACAAGAGACCCGTGACCACGTTGAAGCACTGCTTATTTCCAAAGCTAATATACCGCTTCGTGCGGTATATATATGTAAACTGGCGCCACAGTACATCTATCTAGGTCTATCGAGGGCTTACCGGTAACCGATGCTTATTGAATCTAGGGCATAGACGACCAGGATCGGACGTCGTTTTCCTCTGAAGATTATGCGCCAATCATAGCACTCTGGAGGACGCGTTAGGAAGCTAAATGTGCGACACGTCTCTCAAGCAGCAACATTGGCGTCGAACGAACTTCAGAGCAGTATGTCGGGCGGCTGCTACAGGAGTATGTCGTTTCCTTCTCCTTGAAGGACAAGTCAAGCCTGGTCGAAGGGTCGAAGTTCATCTATTCTACAGAGGTGTATAGTCAGTCCGAGCCAGACTGCTAACTGGAACGCTTCTCGTTTTCTGCACCATGTATGGTCGTCTTCATAAACGTTGGCTCTCAACAGCGAGACGCGTTCTTACAGCGATCCTGATCGTATCCTATTCCTGTACTTTCGTCCCACACGCGCACATTCAAAGTCGCCGTACAGGAGGACAGTCATTCGTCTGGAAACCTTCGAACGACCTCACCTGCGAATTCCACGACCACGCGTTTTGACAATGGTTCTTCCCGTTCCTCTTTCCAGACAGTCCCCAATGCTCCTCCAGCCGTCGTTATCCGAGAGTCCCGAATCCAAGCCTCAGCCTTCCGAAACTCTCGCCTAATTCTCATAATCTCTTATCTTCGCATCATTAATCTCCTGCAGTACACCACAATTCATTCAAAATAGGTTCGCGACATAGGTATGGTACAAGTACATTGATAGAGGCTCGTTGATATAGGTCCGTCTCCTTACCTCACGTCCACATTTATAGAAAAGCGTCCTAACGATGGTTTTCCACGATCTTCTCTTCAGACACAGTCACCAACGTTCGTGTCGACCTAGTCCTCCCTACTAAGTGATCCACGCAAAAATCATCAAATCCTCGATTCATCATCCCTCCATCTGCCTCCCATCCTCCTTCAATCTTCGTCTCGTCCTCCCTACATGCTCGATTCTCGCCCCAAACTCGTCGATACCCCGCCTTTCCATGCACTAATCTCTCAACCCATCCTCATCGTACTCGTACTCGGGATACACAGGCACCCACACCCTCCTCTCCGCTTCCTCCTTCACCTGTGAGAGAATCATATCCTTCACCGCTCCCCGGGCTGTTTCTTCGCCGTACCCAGCTTTAGAACTGTG